AAGACGTGTTTCCATGTAAATGGACTTCACGAGAATAGCTTTATTTTCTGTTCTAATTTTCAAAGCGTCGGGTAATTCCGCCAGTGCAATAGCGGGAAGTGGGCGCTAGCTATCGTGTGCCAGAAAAACAAGCCGCTCGTCGTTTCGCAGACTCGGCATCGAGATGGGAAGTCAAGTTCCCGACATCCTGGCAATTCCCCAGCCCACCCCCCCCCCACCACCACCACCACCGCGCCATTGCAGTGAAAACGGCAAAGTGCCGCCACACATGGAGACACTTCTCATCGTCACAGTCACGCGGCGAGTCGGGTAGGGGGGTAGTGGGTTTGTTGCACTTATTTTTAAAAATTTTGACCCAAATAGAGAAACTGCGGTTTTCGTGTCCATGAGCGCGAATGACCCAGCCCTGAAATAGCAAAAAAAAAGTTATACTTCGGAAAATGTTTCACAATTGTAGATGTAGCACTTGACAGTATGACTATGAGGCACGTGGTACGTGCACGAAAGCTTGAGATGTTGACACAAAGAAGGAATCCGTTGTGGAACTTACAATAAAGCCAGTGGCTATCGCTGTTCATTTAAATATTGGAACACTTTTAACTTATTTGTTAAATGTTTGAAAGAACAAACAGCATCGTGAGCCTGTCTGGTCGATAACCCCCAGGGACCTGTGGGCTGATTGATTAATCTACTTTGTCCGCTAATTCCCCTAAACCCAGATGTCTGCGCAACGCCCAGACACAAACACTCTAGCAAAATCCAATCAAGCGCAAGGGACATTGCTATTCAATTCCTGCTTCACCAATTTGCACAAATGCCACGGCGAAATAACACCTGGTGAGATCACAGCACGGACAAAGTTTTACAATAATGAGCTCGGATACGCTCAGGAAGAGCTGAATGCAACACTGACAAAATTGGGCCAGAAGATGCAAATGCTTACTTCGTATTATGGATGACTGTACATAGTTCTGCTTCGAACAAGGACCCATAACAGAGAGTGTCCTTGCCGATAGACATCTGGCAATTCGCCAGCAGTGGTTTCAGCAAGCCTGACTGCTGATGATTGATTTTGAAACCCCTCCAGAGTTTGCTTGTGTTGAACCAATGCTGCTGAAATGATGTATTCCCGGAAGGCCGTGTGGTTGGTAGGAAATGTAAAAATACATTTATTTCTTTACGTGAAAGAACCGACAGTATTTCGATTTAAAGCTTTCGTGACTGCAGGGATTCATCTTCTTGGTTCTTTCGGTAAAGTCACGTAGAAGGAAAAAATAAAAAAATAAAAACATAATAAAATAATTCTCACGACGTTTCGGCCACAACGCAAGCAGCCGTCTTCAGGTGGAGAACAGGTCTGTCAAGTAGAAAGAGTCTGAGTAGACTCTGTCTACTTGACAGACTCTGTCTACTTGACAGAATCTGAGTAGACTCTGTCTACTTGACAGACTCTGTCTACTTGACAGACCTGTTCTCCACCTGAAGACGGCTGCTTGCGTTGTGGCCGAAACGTCGTGAGAATTATTTTATTATGTTTTATTTTTATTATTTTATTATTTTCCTTCTACGTGACTTTACCGAAAGAACCAAGAAGATGAACCGACAGTACATGCCAAGGAGTATTGCTGGCGGAAGGACCTCCGCTCGAGGGAGCGCTAGAGCACCCCACTAGTTGGTGTTTTTGGCCTACTCTTCAATGCTGGCCAGACACCCTGGAAGATCTGTTTAATGGCCGTGCTATTGTTCAACGTGACCGGCTCACGTTTAACAATGCAGAAGTACGGAATAAAAAATTATCCAACTGAAGTTCAAACGAGAAATAAATTCCACCCATTCTCAAATCCACAGATGTATGGAGGCCTCCTTGAACTATGACGGTCACCGGGGGGGGGGGGGTGCTGTGTGACCATACTTCACCACACTCGTCAGTACAGGTTGGTGAAGGCGGTTGAGGGTGGGGAGGGGGTGGGCCAGCACCGGTCCTGATATTAGTCATCGGTATCAGTTCCAGAATCGAAACAAGGTCACCGGGGTTCAAAGCAGCGCCATCAAACCAGAGCCATCCCAAGAGTACGGCAAATGGGGGGGGGGGGGGGGGGGGGGGTTAACCGCCCCGGGCCCCGCGCTTTGGGGGGGGGGGGCGTGCTTCGACGTCACGGTGTCAGATGTAGGCTCACACGGTCTGGGATTTACCCCGCACCCCCACGATGGACGGCCCTGCTACCAATGATTGTACCACTCCAATGCTCCACTCCCAGCTAATGTTACATGGGATAAACGTCATTGATGTTTTATTTATTTTTCAATTAGGTATCAATGTGGCTGAATATACATAAGGGAGGCAATTGGGCCGCATGGACATGGCACGTTGGTTTATGTCTACAAAATGTTTCGAAAGAAGGAGACGTTGAAATCCACTCCCTATTTGAATTGTGCACGTGGACACGTGAACTTTGTTCGACTTTTATTCTGCATCATACGGAAATGCCACGGCGCAATGTAAAGAAAATGTCGTAAATTACATCCTCTTTTATAAACACGCAATAAAAAAAAATGGTTCCATTGCAGCAGAGTTATGAGTGGGGATGGGGGAGCAGGAGATCGTCAAAATGCGGCCCTAATTCACAAAGTGCTACTGCATGGTGCGCGTGCTTAAGGGTTATTGGGTGCTAAACCTTTTTTTGTTGGTGTTGGAAGTTACGGAATCACTCCTAGCGATGATGCCCTTGAATTGGCCGTTCAACTTGAGATACGCGTAGAAGCCACGCACAATAAATCGTGGCGAATACTCAAAAAATGCCTAGATGGCATGGCATCGTCACAGCGTGCACTATAAATCGGCACATTTACATTTCGTGTCAGTCCGGCTTTAAAGATATAGTGTGGGAAGGCAAATGTTTGATTAAGGCAAGTACATTCTCGCATTGTGCACGAAATAAGAACAAGTTAAGGTCACTTGTTTTTTTTAAGATAGGGGGGGGGGGTATAACATCAACATCGTGTGCAAGGAAAGATAAGATAAAGGTGCCGGCCTGCGATGTCTTTCTCACGCCAATGCTGACGGAAGGGCCACCACGAGAGGGAGCTCACGAACACCACTACAGTGGAAGGGTGTCTGGCCAGATATCCTAAAAGAGGAAGCAGTGCACTCTACCCAGGGGGTCAACGACATATTTGAACGGGGGGCTGTGAGAAGATACCACTGTGTGCCCCCCTCCGTTCTGACTGAAATAATTACGGCTGTTTTTAAATCGAATTACAATAATATACAGTCTATAACTGTATATGTTATTTTATTTGCACCGTGTATTGGGTTTAGAGCAAAACAGTCGCACAGTGACATTTTTTTAAAGTACAATACTCACAATTAAGTTAACATGCGTCTTGCTTTCATTCTGACCCATCGGTCTAGCCCATTGGTTCTTATCCTTGTACTCAATCGTAAAAAAGTATAATGTAAAAAAATACATAGGTGAGATGAAGCTAAGTAGCTGTGCTTAATTTGTGTTTTCGATTATCTACCTTTAAAAAAAGTCTGCCCATGTCTCGCACCCCCGGAAAGGGTATCTCGCACCCCCAGGACCCAGGAGGTGCGTGCACCCCAAGTTAAGAAGCACCACTGGTCTAGGATTTCCTCGAAGGTGGTGGATCGTGCAACTTCATGCTCCATTGATACGATAGCCAGATGCGTGAATCAGGCTTTGGGCCATGGTACACCGCAATAAAAAAAAAAATCTCAATAAAAAAATATTTTAAAAAATTGGAATATTTTTTGTTCTTCACATTTGTTTAATTTGTTTATCTGTTGATTCGGGGCCCCCCTATGTGTCGCCTAACGCTGCCCCACCACTCGCAACCTGCCGCCCGACGAACCGTGCTGAACCCAAAAATGATGTGGGGTGGACCAGAGTTCGGGGGGATTTAAGAAATCGAACCGGCGACCTCTGGATCACACAGTCCAGGGTCGCTGACAAGAGGGAAAGATATTCAACAAAACAAACATAAGGTCCTCATCATCGTCGTCATCGCTGGGAACAGCGCACAAGCACAAATCTACTCTCTGCAGAACCTCTGAACGAAACTTCAGCCAATGATCGGTCTGTAAATATGTGTCTGCGATGAGGCACGGTCTAATGACAAATCTGGTGGTTTTTATTGGCAAAGAAATACTGCACAGTACATTGATATGTTTATCTTTAAATGTTCTTGTTAGGCGCTAATGGACAATAAAACGCAAATAAAGCCATCTGAGGCCGTGCATAATGTTAATGCCATTGAACATTTCGACGGCATGACTCATGTAAATGATCAACATCATATCAACAACCGTTGTGTATTCTGAACGTACATTTACTAGCCAGTTGTAACACGTATGTATGTTGAACTTCTTTTGCACCGTACGTAGCGTAGCCAACCGTGCTCGTCTGAGGTAGGGGGGGGGATGACATCAAACTAAACATATAAAAGCGGTTCTAAAGAAATGAGTTTTCATTAGTGCTGTCCAGCACAAGTACAGAACTAATATTGTCAGCAGTGGCATGAACACGCAGTTGCCTGGCTGCACTTTAACCTTGAACGCAAATTGTAGTTCTTGAGATGTTCATTGCTATTTAAAGCTTTCGTGACTGCAGGGATTCATCTTCTTGGTTCTTTCGGTAAAGTCACGTAGAAGGGAAATAATAAAATAATAAAAATAAAACATACTAAAATAATTCTCACGACGTTTCGGCCACAACGCAAGCAGCCGTCCTCAGGTGGAGAGCAGGTTTGTCGAGTAGACAGACCTGCTCTCCACCTGAGGACGGCTGCTTGCGTTGTGACCGAAACGTCGTGAGAATTATCTTATTATGTTTTATTTTTATTAAATTATTATTTCCATTCTACGTGACTTTACCGAAAGAACCAAGAAGATGTTCATTGCTTTTAATGTAACAATCTATCAATCCACTGCTATAGATAAAGAAGGCCGTGTAAATAATGGATTGGTTATTTTTAACGAAATGCTCACCACACTAGTGGCCAAGGAGGAAGAGGAGGAATGGGAATGGACTGCCGTGGGCCAGGAGTTGAACTCAGGTGGACAGGTCCCTGTTCCCCCGTTGTACAGGGTGGTGCAGCTGTCTTCTTTTCCTTTGCATATTCATGTCTGCTTTAAGTAAAGCTTACCTTTAAAACATGACGTTTTTGGGAATTAAATGAGGGTCACAAGACATGTGGATCACCTTGTACATTACTTTTTGTATTATATAACACTGGTCAACACACTTTTTCTGGCATAAGCTATTCCAACGGTTTTAAGATAATTTGGGGTGCTGATTCCAAATCTGGCATCAGTTTTTGTCTATCACATCAGGTTTTTGAGATATCAAATATTGCATTTTCAATAAAAACTGTAGAAGAAAAATATTAAATAAATGTGGATATCTACATAAAATTATATTATAAACACTAAAAATACAGCACCATATTTTAACACTAGAGCAGTCACTGACTCGCAACAACTTGCAATCATAAGTGACAGAGTTAATTTCGGGTAAAATCAATGAAAATGGGGTATGCCGATAGCATAAAAATGATGTGATAGAGCAAATCTGAGATCAGATTTGGAATCAGCACCCTGAAATTAGTCTAAAACAGCTGCAAAAGTCCAGGCCAGAAAAAAATGCTTTTTTTTTGTTGACCAGTGTTATAAGATCGAACCCGCCTCGACGGGGAGGATTTACATACATCTGTTAGAGCTTTTAACAGACTGCGAGACAAGAAGGCTCACCTGATCGAGTCGCTAACCTTTCTCAAGAGATGCCGCGATAACAAGGTAATACTGATCGCATTTACACTCACATCTGCAGCTGTCACTTCTCCTAACGCTAAACGGATCTTGTTCAAAGCTAGCCTATCGCTAATCTCAGAGAGCATAAGACTGCTCCGTTTTGAACTTGATAATTTAGACAAATGTCTCTTACAATCACACTTAGCATTAACAAATAAAATGTCCACATCTAATTGGGACCTTGTAGATAACGTGACTGTTTCTTCTGCCGCGACAATGTCAACCAAATGTAAAGTTAACCCGATTGCTAAATTCAACATCCTGTCAAAAAAGAAGCCTGATCCACACGTGAAAAAGTTAGATGTTCACAAGATTGTTATCAATCAGAGTAACAGCCCAATTTCCGATAGCCTAAAATCGGTACGAGCTAGAGGGCTGAACTTTGCAGTCACCCTCAAACACATCCCAGTGGATGATATCATTGACCAGGTTGATGTAGCCCTCAAAGGTTTAGGTCACATCCAAACAGACGTGGCAAGATCTGAAATCGCCGTCATCCTCAAAAGCGCTAAGAAACCCATTAGTAACATCAGCAGGAACGAGCGCTCTGAACTCGCTCAATTGAAAAGAGAGATGGCATTGTCATCCTTTCAGCCGACAAGGGCAATACCACGGTCATCATGGATAAAACCACATACAACAACAAAATCCAGTACCTTCTTAATGATGGCAGTTATACTAAAATCAACAAAGATCCTACTAACCGCCTGGCTACAAAAACCAACAATATTATCACTAATTCGACTTTTCTAATCGAAACCAACAAGCAACTCTCTCTAAAACCTTCGGCTGCTAGACCACCCAGATATTATGGTCTTCCAAAATACATAAAGAAGTTACTCCACTCCATCCTATCGTTTCTACCATGGGCTACCTTCAAAGATTTGTCCATGAAGCCATCCAGATATATAAACACAGAGACAATTTCAACCGAGAAGATGGCTATAAGCTGAGCAATCATTGGAAGGACGTTATTAACCAAGCAAAGTCGTAACTTACTGTGGTGCTTCCATTGTTCCCTGCCGTTTGGCTGTTATCTCCGACTCTCTGAGGTTGCATTGCCCTGTTGGGTGCCGCTGCATTAACGGGCTGGGGTCTCACTAGCATGGCCACCTCTGCTCCCTTAGCCTCGATGTATCGATGGTTCTGGCTGTGTGATGGGCTGTGTGTTTCACTAACACGACCACCGTTGCAGTGGTTCACTTGCGTGGACGCGCTTGCCTCTCACAGCGCAGTTGGCAGCGCCGCAGATTGTGTTACACATAGACATGACATTAACTTGCTAATCCCCCTAATCTCCCTGCCTAATCTTTCCCATCAACATAGTCCTAATCTTTGGTTATTTCGGTAAAGTCACGTAGGTATAAAATAAATCACGACGTTTATACCTACGTGACTTTACCGACAGAACCAAAGAGTATGGATGGATTCCTGCAGTCACGAAAGCTTCAAATCAAGATCGTGCTAATCTCCCATTAACACTGCTGTGGTGCGCATGTGCGACGATACTCTTACGGAAGTTCATTTCATGCTAATCTCTCTCCCTAATCTCTCTCTCCCTAATCTCCCCCATTAACACAACTGACGTGCTTGCGTTCGGGGATGGAATTCCTTTCCAGCTCAGACCCAGACCCCGCTTGCTTGCCCATCGCCACATATATAACCTCTTGTTGTAGCAGCTCTCTCGCTGGGTCAGCAGCTCCACTGCTGGATTGTTTATTTTATGCCTGAGGACGACCGCTTGCTTGTGTTGCGATCGAAACGTCGTGATATATTATTTTTTGTTTTATTTCTTTTTTCTACCTACGTGACTTTACCGAAATAACCAAAGAGTATATATATGTAGTACGTGTTTGGTATATTGTAATAAATGTCAAACTGACATACAGCTCAACACTGTAAAATAAAAATTATGAAATTCATGAAAAATGAAAAAAAAATGACATACAGCTCAACACCGTACACGAAAAATGCTCTCATGTTATTCCTTACAATGTTAGTCGTTGCATAATTCACTCGTTGAGCTGCCTTTGTTGTAATTCACGTGTATCGCTTTCATTACCATACTTCCACTTTACCTTTCAATCTGCCTATTGCAATTATGATAATTATTCCAATTCATGCGCGCGCACCTTAACCGGCAAACTCATCATCATCATCGTAACCGCGTCTCCTCTCGTTCACTTGCGGCCCATTTTTATCCAGCCCGCACGCAAATAACCATCTTCAAAGGCCAAACGACGGGAGGGAGACGGACTCCAAACGGCACGTAGCAGCAGCAGCACAGAGAGAGGCTGTGGCGTGTCGCAGTGGCTCGCCGCGGTGCGTGTTTGGTTTGGATATTGGTTGCTGTGGAGAACACGCAACAGCAGCAGCAGCAATAAAAGGCAAACACTGCCACCCCACCATGGATCATGTGACCCCAGTTTATAAAGACAACCGCTTGCTATTATCGATACCGTAGCAACCGACCGCAAACTCTGACTTCCCACCCCCCTCCCAGAAATCCGGAGTGGTGAGTGCGTTAATCATTGATGAGATACTTGAAACATGAGGCCGTAACTAACTACTGAGCGTGCTCTAACCGCCGACGAACAGGACCGAGACCAACTTGACGAGGCTCTCTCTGTTGTGGGTTGTTTTCATCGCAAAAGGCTGCGAAGATATTCTGCATCGCTCAGTAAGTGATTATTATTTATTCACCCTTTGGGCCTGATTACAGCATCGGCACTTCGATTAGCGTCTTGCCACGCGAGGTATTTCTTCGCCGATCACTATCCGATGCAGATAATCGCAATACAATGTTAACGCTGGCATTCCGAGAATGATAGATTAGGAAGGCAAACATTTGAATGTAAACCTTCTGAAAGCCTAGGTTTTGTTTTTTAATATATATAGTCATTCTATTTTACAGCAAACAAAAATTGGTTCGTGTAATGTATTTCTAACAGCCCTTTCAGACAGACGTACTGCAGAGGTTAGTGGCACATAAATGTGTATTGGGAAGGGTAAATATACGCGAATGGGCTGTGTATATCAATGGAGAAACCGCATGGGCTGAAGGGCCCTTTTATCATTCCATAAATTCTTGTGCCTGCCTTTAGACAGGCACTACAGGCAGGCACGAGTGCCTGATCTGCGTGATTGCCAAGCGATGCCACAGAATGTGTTTTTCGGAGAAAAAGGGGGATTTAAAAACAAAGAATGTTTGACAAAACAACGTTTTGGTTTGAAATGCATCGTAGGTTGTATTTTCCCAATGCGGGCAATCACAGTCCGCGCATTGCACACATTGCGAGTGTAACCGTTGCTACAGGACGTGCATACAGAGGCACCTTCGATTAGCGCGGTTGGCTACGTACGGTGCGAACTAAAGTTCAACACACATACACGCTACATACACGGAGTACGGTATAATACAGCAGAATGTACAGGACATACACATGTCAGTAAGTGAAGGCGAATGAGTATCAAATCCAGCCGTTGCTGGGTCTGCTGTTGCTGATAAGTGCAACTAAAATAATTGTAAATGTTTATTTTATTCCAAGCGAAAACCGCACATCATCTTGTAACGTGAACCTGAGCTGAAGATGGCCCAATTGAACATGTCTCGTTTCTATCGCAGCGATTAGCTGATGTGAACTCACGCGGGCAATTCCAGTTCCCTTTTCAGGCTCCAAGATCCCCATTTAACTTCTGGGTATCTTGCTGAAATGTACACATTTGATGCGACGTACCTTAAACGCAGTTCCTCGAATTACATAATGTTCCGTCGTTCCATGTAACTGGAACAAAAAGTGCAGGCTGCATCTCTCCACGCGATGAGATATGCAATTCAAGTGATTCACAATTCATAAAAAAAATGGCAATTCATGTTTGTGGCCGCTACACACGTGTGCAACCGCCAAAGCAGACATTAAGATACAAATACAGACGATTCTTGATTCATTATGATTTGCATCCGCATATAATTACTCTCACATATATATCAGCAAATGCGCCCGTAATCTTTAGCAGTGGACAAGGGTATTAGTCCATCAATGTAAACACACATTTAAAAAATCTTTACATTGATTCGATGACCCACGTTTATGTGGCAATCCACCGCTCAATGACACCAGCCCCGTGCCGCGTTTTCAGTTTAATATCTCCCCCCGCACCTCCAATTTAGCGCAGTTGGCTACGTACGGTGCGAAAGAAGCCCAACATGCATATACGTAAACGCATTGCTTTTCCATTGCTTGCTTAAGCATCTCAAAACATAAAACATGAACGCGTTTCTCTTTCAGCAATTCATACACCAGACCCCCGGGGTCGTTTCCCCTCCCCTGCCCCACTGCAGGATTCACTCCGTTCAATTTCCCATCAGCCCGCGAAGCTGGCGGTCCCTTACGGCGTTTTCGCGGCACCGTGGCCAGGTGCACGCTTCCCGGGGGCCCTCCCGACGTCGCACCCGGAGCCGCCCTTCTGCCCGCGATGCCCTCGCCACGTCCGCGTGGGCACCGACTCCCGAGTGCCCTACCGGGAATTCTGCCGCTCGTTCGGCTACCCGGTGGCGCTTGCCCGCTCGGCGCCGTGGCCGGGCGACGACGCGGCGCTGCTCGGCTTCTACGAGCTCCGGGGCACGGGCGGCTCGCTGGTGCAGCGGGGCCACGCGACGGGCTGCGCGGCGCGTGGCTACCACCCCGAGACGCTGCTGTTCGACGCCGAGGGTCACCTCGACAGCGTCCTCCTGACGCTCGGCCTCGGCCACGGCGCCGTCACCCGCGTCGCGCTCTTCTCCAGCCACGCGCCGTGCGGGCACGAGGCCCTCGGCTGCGTGTCGCGGATCCTCGGCTTCCTGGAGGCCCACCCCGGCGTGCGGCTCGAGGTGTACTTCGCGCAGTTCGAGAGCGGATTCGCGGAGGCGGTCCGGGGCTACCACAGGCCGCCGTACGGCCAACGCGACGGCACCGACGAGGGCGGCTCCCTGCGAGATCTCGTCGGTCTGAGGCCCCGGGTCACCGTCGCCCCCATCAGCGGCGGAATGTGGGGCAAGATTCTGCGCGACTTCGTGAGCAACGTGCCCCCGCTTGCACTGATGAACCCCGTGAATCACTTGCGGGCGAGAGAGGACAGTGAGAATGCCGCTCGTCTGGCGGGAACCACTGGGGTTTGGCCCCCGTACGTTGACCTAGCACCGGTCCCTTCCAGACAATACAGAGACCTCGTCTTCGGAGATTTTGGCCACCAGTTCGATGACCAACGTGATCACGACGAACTAACAAATGCGAGGTCAGATCATTATTTGAGCGAAAAGCGCACGACGGTCAAAAGGCCACGGCGATTCAATCCGGACACTCTTCAGTCACCACCGATGATGGTCCTTCCACCAATCTTCATGCCACTTGAGCATTCTCCTCCTCCCCCTCCTCCTCCCCCTCCTCCTCCTTCCCATCCTCTTCCTCCGCCACCAGCCCACTCCTGGGGCTATTCCCAACCCTGGACACCTCATTGGTCACAGTCCTGGACCCAGCCCTGGACTCCCCAGCCCTGGACTCCTCAGCCCTGGACTCCTCAGCCCTGGACTCAGGCCTGGGCACAGGCCTGGGCCCAACCTTGGACCCAACCTTTGACCCCGGCCCAGACGTATCCCTGGCCACAGGCATGGACTCCGGCTTGGAGGCAGCCGGAGCCACAAGTGGTCCGGCACATGACGCTGCCGGACTTGCCGCCACCACCGAAGCAGAAGGAGAAGACGATTCAGGAGATGCTGCCACCAAACGGGATCATCAAGGACTTCACCATCACGCAGGAGAAACCGGTCAAGCAGAGAGCCGACACGACCGGCAAAAGCGACAAGGGAAAGAAGTCGACGAAGAAAAAGTGAACAGGCTCGTGTGCTCTAAGATTCTCCGATGAGATGAATATTCAGCACCTGAAGAAGTTCCCAGCGCATGCGGCGAAACGTCGGACATCGTGCCGAAAAAGACACGTGGCACAAACCGAATACACATTGTAGCACGCACAAGGTTCGCGCATCACCAATGAAACATTACTTTACAGGTGCTTATCAAGTACTGACTGGCACGTTGTGAATTCGTATAGGGTACATACACTGTACTCGTAGAGCCATTTTATCAATCCACTGCTGGATGAGGGCCACTCCACACCATGAGAGTCGCGGGCACTATTTGCCCACGTTGTCACCGGAAACATTTCTGAGCTGTGCAATGTGGCTGGCATCACATCAGATGTGGCAGGCATCAGAGGGCAGCGCAGCAAACCCCTTTGTTGCATTGCACTCCTCTACATTCTCCAGTCTCGTGCGTCCCACCCTTCACCAGTCCACCCACGGCCGAGCAGCGTGGTGAAGTATGGTCAAATAACCCCCGTGACTTTGGCAGCTTGGGGAGGCACTCATCCAGCCTTGGAGGGACAGAGCTGGACACGCGCACGTACCGCTATGCACTGCAACGTGCCGTATCACTCGACGAATTCATCAACGCGGTGCTCGGTGCTCGAAACCGGGGATGACCTAAAGCGAGCTTGACGTGCCGTTGTTCCGCGGTTTCTCTTATCAGTGGTTAAGAAGAAAAAACTTCAACCACTTCATGCACTTTATATCCACTCGAAATATGAGCTGTACGAAATTTGTAAACGCGCGCCGTGCCCTGTACTCCCATCTATTTATTTAAATGACCCAAATGGCTAAGAGGCGGCCGGTCGGTCGGTCCCGTCAGTGATACATTTGACGAGGCTCTTGCCATGATGGAGCTTCTTGTGCAATGCACACGAGCCGCTTGCATTGGCCGATTCCGACACACGTCCTTTGTGCTAATCGTACAGCGAGACCGATTATTGTTTTCATCATTATTATTATTACATTGCTATAATGTGCATAGAGTGTCAATAAATGACGCAGCGGGTGACCTGGAATTGGTGGTATGCGTGATGCGGGTAAGACGCCAATCACCGCTGACTCTTGAGCCAAAAGCCAAGCATTACGCGAATCACCCTAAACTCCACACTCCTGCGTGGGTGTTGCCTGGCAGGCCCCCCTGAGTCAGTGAAAGCACGTGAGCCTGTTTTTTTTTCTCTAAGAGGAAGCGGGCCATCACATCTGGCCAGCAGATTTTTTTTTGAAATGAGAAGAAGACGAAGAAAAAACAAGAAGGCACCGCGCCAAGGACAGGCAAAGTTGCAGACTTCACAGCCGGGGTGGGGGGGGAAAAACAAGGGGCTAACCGAACAACATTGAGCGTTCGGCGTGCGCCCGATTGGTGGGACGACCGTGCACGGGAGGGAGAAATTAGCGCGGTGATTTTTAATCATGTGTCGTGTAACGTGCCCCGCTAGCTAGCGAACGTCTCGGGCGTGCGCGGGAATGACGGGAGCGGGCGCGCAGAATACCGGCCCCACTTTTAATTTGCCGAAATCCGAGACAATGTTTGGACGCGCGCGCGTACGTGCGTGCGCGCGTGTGTGTGTGCAAAGGTTTGGAAAGAAAAAAAGTGAGGTTTCGGAATTCCCTCGCGATCGTCTGATGGCTGAGCTCTCACGCGCGTGTGTTCTCGTCTGGGCGGCGTGAGCGCGCGTGAAATCAACACGTTGGGCCCCCCAAAAGGGAACCACCGCTAGGTCGCATCGTCTTCAGAGAGAACAATGAAGACCCCCAAACTCCGCTCGGGCACTGCACCGGCCCAGCAGGATACAGGGCCTGTGTGTTTATGTAGTCTGCGAAAAAAAAAGCGTGGCGATATTCCCAGTTTACCACTTTTACAAAGCAATGCAAACATACTCAAATAGCCCAGTTACACCCTTGGGGAAAGTGTAGTCAGGGAAGGTCGGGTTTTTTTATTTTGTTGAGGGTTCCCGGCGGAAACATCTGCATGAGACACCTACAACGACTGCACTGTATTTTATTACGTAGTTCAACAAAATAACACATTCCTGCAGAGGGAGCTGGTAGGAACGTTGGGTTGCTCGGTCAATGGCCAGGGTCAACGGCGGCGTGGTGTATTCCGCAAATATGCCCGACTGAGGGCGGGCACAAGCCAGCGTGAGTAGGTTAAACGTTGAGTTTTATAAGGGCACCACGGGGTGACCAGCCCCTCTCCACCCAGCACCCCCCACCCAGCCCCACCCTCCCCACCCAGCCCCTCCCCACCCTCCCCACCCAGCCCCCCCCCCTGCACGACGGACACAATAATCCCCTGTGGGCTGGTGTAACCAGGAGGTTCCTACCAGTAATAGTTTGCTGGTGATGGCAATAGTGGTAAAGGTGCAGCCCTGCAATTGCTTGCTTACACCACTGCTGGTGAACGCGCCTCCACTAAAGCGAACTCTAGCGAATAGTCGGTCTACTCTTCCACTTTAACCACATGTGTTGGCCAGAGGTGGGAGTACCGACACGGTTGGCTACGTATGGTGTGAAAGAAGTTCAACATACATACTGCTGGGTGGACAGAAGCAGAGTGATGTACTTTCATTTCAACGTCCATGCCAGGAGATCGAACTGGTAACTTGAGTGGCATGTGCAGTGTGCTGACCGTTATGCCACGGCAGCTTTCAGCTATGGCAGCAGTTGCTGGTTATGGAAGTAGAATAATGCAATTGTAAACTATTAATTTACAGCCCTTGTCAAGCCACTGCTGGATGAAGGCCCCAAATGCCATTCGTCTCAGTTATTCCATAACACTTGGATTAGTCCCGTGATCTCACGCCAACCATTTATCGACATTTTACGTGGATTCAAAGTAGCCTGGCACAATCGCTATGGTGACATCACCATCATCATTTAGTGGCTACCAGAGGTGTGGACTCGAGTCATGTGACTTGGACTCGAGTCAGACTCGAGTCATGAATTTGATGACTTCAGACTCGACTTGGACTTGCATAACAATGACTTTGTCCCACCTCTGAGGTGTGGACTCGAGTCATGTGACTTGGAATCGAGTCAGACTCGAATCATGAATTTGATGACTTCAGACTCGACTTGGACTTGCATAACAATGACTTTGTCCCACCTCTGGTGGCTACATTACCCGCCAGCGATGTTAACAGTGAAGGGGAATTAAAATCAGGTCACCGGTTTCATTGCACGGTGCGTTAATCTCTTCGCCACTGCTCCACCCCCATGCAAGTATGGAACAATCAAATATTTGTAAAAGAACTACAGTGCCTGTTTGCTTCCAAGAAGACGCACAAACTCAGGGTTCCCTTCAGCCACAGCACCGAATCACAGCAGTCTGCTCTGGCTGATAAGTGGTTTCGGCGTGGTCCTCGGCTAATAATCATCATTGCTAGCAGTCTGACAGCGAGTCACGTCAAGATGCACCAAGGTATGATGCATGGTCCAAAGTTAATCCAGATTTGCCCTTAGAAGAAAACAAATGTGATGGACGGTCGCTTTTGCTGCCCAAACATAGTCCTCTTCTCTGCCGCCAGACGCTTTGGTGCATGTCCCGTCCAAATCTGTCACGGATCGTGGCTGCCAGAGTGCTGCGGGTACAGCAGAGAAGACGAGATTGACGATTGCAATATAGCTTCGCCGTCATTCAATGGAACCGCCAAATTGCAGTGGTTTTAGCACCTACACGAAGAGCTACAATTACGCCATCTCTCCACACACCACAGTAAACATGCAATGTTGGGCCAACGTTGGCACGACGTTCCGTGTTTACCGGGCAGCTGGTGCACTGCACTTTCCAAACGTACATCAGCTTGCCTTTAAATCCTAGATCACATTTAAGCCAAACTGCTCATTGGAACCGAGTCCAACTCTTAAGTTCTGTTTCACGGTAAGTAGTACTCTGCTTAAAGCTTTCGTGACTGCAGGAATTCATATTCTTTGGGGCTTTCGGTAAAGCCACGTAGAAAGAAAAAATATTATAAAAATATCACGACGTTTCGATCGCAACACAAGCAATCGTTTTGCTTGTGTTGCGATCGAAATCGTTGCAATCATTTTGCTTGTGTTGCGATCGACGCGTCGTGATATTTTTTTATTATTTTTTCTATCTACGTGGCTTTACCGAAGGACCCAAAAAATAGTACTCTGCTATAAATATAAAAAAAAAATTCTGCGTTTGGACACGAATGACGTTTCATCATATTCGCCCTTTTGTCTGTGAAATAACTTCCTTTCATCCGCATGAAGACGAGCAGATAAATGTGGATACCTCTTATGGATTGTTAAATTGTCCGCAATTAGATGAATGGTCTAATCCTGGGAGGCCACTTTGGGTAATTTCGAGTTGGGTCAAACCCACCGATTCGCACAAAGGGATATTCCACAAATTCCAGGCTATATACTGTTTGTATGTTGCACTTCTTTTGCACCATACAGAGCCAGCATTAGTAATCGAAGATGCGGGGGAAGAAAAAAGCCACTCATCTATTCTCCACATCCGTGCAAGTAAAAGGAGATGTGAAAATTCAGATAGTGGGATTTGTGGCATGTTTTTTTTACTTAATTCATTAAACACACTGGTCAACACACTTTTTCTGGCATAAGGTATTCCAACGGTTTTAAGGTAATTTTGCGGTGCTGATTCCAAATCTGGCATCAGTTTTTGTCTATCACATCAGGTTTTTGAGATATCTAATATTGCATTTTCAATCAAAACTGCAGAAAAAAATATTAAATAAATGTGGATATCTACATAAAATGATATTATAAACACACTATCCTAAAAATACAGCACCATATTTTAACACTAAAGCGGTCACTGACTCGCAACAACTTGCAATCATAAGTGACAGTTAATTTTGGGTAAAATCAATGAAAATTGGGTATGCCGATAGCATACAAATGAGATGCTAGAGAAAATCTGAGATCAGATTTGGAATCAGCACCCTGAAATGAGTCTAAAACAGCTGCAAAAGTCCAGGCCAGAAAAAAAAAAATTTGTTGACCAGTGTCATATAAGCCAAAAAAGTCCCAAGTGTCAAGCAGCCAGCAACAAATGGCACTCTCAAAGTTGCAATTGATAAGAATTAACAACGCATGTCTGGAATTCACCAAGGTTTTTTTTTTTTTAATACTTGAGAAACGAGACGACGGGAGGGAGTTCCACAGCTGTGCAGTGCGAGGGACAAGGCAGAGTGAGAAGTTTGTTGGTGGTGAACCAGCAAGAGCGTTTTGCTCTATCGTGGTCTTGCTATGATGTGCGTGACTGTACTTGACCGGTTTTTTTTTTTACATGGGGCGCTGCAGTAGCCGGTACATCGTGTGCTTGTCAAGTACTCGCTGGAAAGTGCCCCTGCAGGGCAGCTCAGTCGCCCAGGAAGGGCACTGCAGTGATTATATTTTACTCTCAGAGAGCTGAAACAATCTCACCTCAACCCAATGTAATCACCATAATGGAACAATGCCGTAATTGTGTGTATGTTTGTTGAGCTTCTCTCGTGCCGTACTTGCATAGCCAACCGTGGTAATCGGAGGTGTGGGAAATTTTCGTCAAATTGCTGATTATGTTGCACTTATACCCCGTTAAACATGCAACCTTGGCCCAACATTACGTGTTAAATGGAATAACGTTGGTCTAACATCCCATGTTTATCGAGTATCTGTATTTACCATCCTATTAATTGTTGTGCACAATGATCATCTTCGGCCACGATCATTTCCAGTGCCGGATGAAGGCTTCCGCACAGGAGCCAGCAGCCAAAAATCCATCCAGCGTCTGCACACCGATTCCATCCGCTCCGTCTCCGCGGTCGACGTCCTCCCTGGCTAACCAACATTAGAAGCGTTCGCAAATGCAAATGCTTTCATTTCATGAAATGTGCCAACGACCAACAATGACGCACGCACGCACGCCCGCACGCCCGCGCCCCTCGCTGTGTGCACAGGGTGCGCTGATTACGTTGGTTTGAACGCCGCTCAAATGTTTACACGTGAACACACACACACACAAATGGGCCG